TACCTATGTTACATGATCAAAATACATCAAGTAGGTGGGATTTTATAAGGACATTTGCCAAAAACGTATGTAAAAAGCTCTTTTAGAAGCCTTCACAATTCTCCAATGATCTTACAGACAAGTTCTGACAAACTTTAAAGAAATGTCTAATTTTTAGTTTTTAGTCTTAGAGTATGGGGGAGGGGAAATGACAAGCTTCCAAATTTTCTTGATGAAGCTAACACAACCATGGCCTAACTAAAACCCCAACAAAGAGGCAATCTCCTTCTAAACCACGAACAATAATACCAGAACTTTAATAATTAAAAGGGGAGGATATAGCCGGCTGGTGGTGGTGCACACCTTTAATCCCAGCACTCATGAGGCAGAGGCAGGCAATCTCTGTGAGTTTAAGACCAGCCTGGTCTACAGAGCTAGTTCCAGGACAGCCAAGGCTACAAAGAGAAACCCTGTCTTGAAAAACCAAAACTAAAAAGTGTGTGTGTGTGTGTAGGGGGGATACATATACCATCTGCCACACAGCCCCACTGTAAACACTAGTGAATAATTTAAGGAAAACATTAGTAGGTTAATGGAAACTCCCAGAGATCTAAAAGGATGACTCCTAGCTAAGGCTCTTAGTATAGAGGATACGGATCCTGAACCAGCGATCGCCTGTAACTAGGCAAGATTTTCAGTGGAGGGATTGGGACCCCAACCCAGTTATAAAACCTTTCACCTAAAATTTGTCCTGACTACAAGATGTACAGGGATTTGACGGTGGTGCAGAAATTGTGAAAGTGGCCAACCAATGACCTGTCAAGCTTGAGACCCATGCCAGGAAAGGGAGCCCAGCTCTGTCACTGCCTGAAGGACCAGGAACCCAGAGATCCAGGATTGAACCAAAGACAACCAGCAGAGAGAGAGAGAGAGAGGGGGGGGGGGAGGGAGGGAGGGAGGGAGGGAGGGAGGGAGAGAGAGACAGATAGGGGAGGGGAGAGGGAGAGAGAGATCAATTAACGATCCCTAATATATTTGGCTATACTTGTAGACAGGAGTCTAGCATAATCGTCATCAGAGAGGCTTCTTCCAACTGATGGAAACAAATGCAGACTCACGAACTCAGGGCATCCTGCAAAAGAGGAGGAAAAATTGTAGGAGCCAGCGGAGTCAACGACACAAAAATACCCACAGAATTAACTAACCTGGGCTCATAGGGACTCAGAGAAACTGAACTGACAGCCAGGGAGCCTGCATGGACTGGCCTAGGCCCTCTGCATGTGTTACAGTTGTTAGCTTAGTCTTTTTGTGTGACTTCCAACAGTGGGAGCAGAGGCTGTGTCTGAGTCTTTTGACTGCTTTGGTGACCCCTTTCTTCCTACAGGTTACCCAGCCTTAATATGAGGGGAGGTGCCTAGTCTTACTGCAACTTGGTATGCCATGTTTGGTTGCTATCCAATGGAGCCCTGGCCTTTCCTGAAATGAAACAGGGAGAAGGGGCTGGGAGGAGAGAAGGGAGGGGATGGATATAATGTGAGAGAATAATTTTTTAAAAAGAATGAGCAAGGAAGTCAGGACCGCGAGGGGTGCACTCACACACGGAGACAATGGGGATGTTCTATTGGGAACTCATCAAGGCCAGCTGGACTGGGTCTGAAAAAGCCTGGGATAAAACCGGACTCTCTGAACATAGCGGACAATGAGGACTACTGAGAACTCAAGAATGAGGACTACTGAGAACTCAAGAACAACGGCAATGGGTTTCTGATCCTACTGCACGTACTGGCTTTGTGGGAGCCTAGACAGTTTGGATGCTCACCTTACTAGACCTGGATGGAGGTGGGGGTTCCTTGGACTTCCCACAGGGCAGGGAACCCTGATTGCTCTTCGGGCTGAGGAGGGAGGGAGACTTGATTGGGGGAGGGGGAGGGAAATGGGAGGTGGTGGCGGGGAAGAGACAGAAATCTTTAATAAATAAATAAATTTAAAAAAAAGAACTAACAATAAAACAGAAAGTAAATTTAGAGATAAAAAAGCAGTTTAAATTTCATTAAAACAGAGGATGATATAAAGAAATCCATTGATGCCATTCACTAAAGGACTGAAAGGGATGGTTTTAAAAGGATTTCTCAAAAGTCATCATTCATCCACTCATCCCTAATTTAAATAAACAAATCCTTGTGAACTAAGAATAAAAGAACATTGCCTCAACTTCAACGTTAGCTGTAATTTTATCTCTTTGTATTGTTCAAGGATTCGAGCAATGGATATGCATTATCAGAGAATAAATCCCTTTCCGCTGTAAATGCTTTTGAATTTATTTTTAAAAGATCACCACACATACGATGTACTTTGATTCTATTCACCACCCACTCCTTCCTCTACCGCCTCGCCTCCTGGATCCACTGTCCACACCCCTCCAACCCTTTTCCCAATTTCATGTCTGTTTTTTTAATTAACACATTGAGTCCAACTTGTGATGCTCATTTATACACTGGTGTGGAGCCATCCACGGAAGCATGGCCTACCTACCAGAAATCATATCCGTGTGTGTGTGTGTGTGTGTGTGTGTGTGTGTGTGAGAGAGAGAGAGAGAGAGAGAGAGAGAGAGAGAGAGGCTAACTCTCCCTCTGCTAGCAGCCATCAACTGTCAATTACTTGTCAGCTGGAAATGAGGACTTTCGTGCACCCTTCGCCCTCCGAACTGGAATGCTGCCTGACTTGATCTAGTGCAGGTCTTGTGCAGACAGCCAGAACCACGGTGTACTCATGGGCACAATGGCATTTCCATGTCCAGAATATACTGTTTAGCTCGAGCCTGCCCCAACCTCTGGCTCTTAAAATCTGTCAACCACCTCTTCCAAATACTCCGAGTTTGAGGAAAGGCGTATGTTACAGTAATGGCTGAGCACTCCACAGACTAGCTGTGCATTTCCGCATTAATGACCCTGCACTGCACAAAGGAGTTTCTCTGATGAGAGCTGAGATTAATTAGAGCTGGGCACTAATCTGTGGGCACAGGTGTATATTTAAGGAACAGTCCGATATCATCCATCCCCTAGGACCTACGAGTTCCTCAACCATTGGTTCTTGGCTATATCTCCAGTACCAGGAAGAGCAGGGGCCTGAGTCTGACTATCTCATGGCTTAGAGACAGTGTGGTAAAGGCCAACACATCTCTGCACTGAGGATCTTCAAGATTGTTCCTGTTTAGCCCATATTGCCTCGGGAACCTGGTGAGACACTGAGCTGTGAGAGGACTAATTTTGATAATGCTGGAGGAAACAATTGCCAATAGAATATCATCAGCAAGTCATTTGTATCTTTTATTTATCTATATGTATATGTGCACACATGCACACAGGTACCCAGAGAGGCCAGAAGGCTATCAGATCCCCTAGGGCTAAAGTTAAAGAGGGTTGTGAGCTGCCTGATGTGGGCGCTGGGAACCAAACCCAGGTCTCAAGAGCAGCAAGTACTCCTAAGCACTGTGCTATCTCTCCAGCCCCCATGTGTATCTTCTTGCTCATTTTAATTATGTAGTTACTCCCTCAAAAGATGCGCATGCCTCTGAATTCTTCTAATCTTTAAAAATGTAGCTGACCCATTTGTTTTCACTTGTTTTTCTTTAAAATTCACAAAGCTTAGCTATGTAACAAGGGAAGAAAAAATGCAAAATACATGCAAGATTTTGGTTCTGATTTAAACCATATTTTAGCAAGGACTTTAAGTGTAATTTGGTACAGAGATAAAAGATTCATTGTGAAATCCTACTCTTTCCGCATCATTAATCAAATAAATTTTTCTTAATGCAGTGTTGTGTAAAGACTAATCAATCTATGTGCATGCATGCTTTGCATTCACTACAAAGTTGTAATATGGAATAATTCTCCCACCTACATTTTGAATATCCAGTATCACCATTAACGAGCAAGGTACTTTCCCAAGGTACTATACCCAGTTAATATATGCTTGCATGGGTGTGCTATACAAAGAAAAGCAACAGGAAGAGTGACCAAAGCGTGTCTTCTCTCTGGAAGACAGTATCAAGTCTTTTCTTTCTTGTGATTTAACTTCCTGCCCACCCTCCTGCACATCCACTGAAAATATGAATGCTCCTTTCACTTTCAACAACAGAAAATATTTTGGAATTTGTTTGTGTTGCTCTTGTTTGTTTTTAAGAACTGGCTTTCTTTCGCTGACATTCATGGATCTATTGTACATGGGAAGTAGAAAAAGACAAGGTCTCCTGAGTAAATTGGGAGCATGGGATCATGGGAAAGGGTAGGAGGGGAGGGGATAGGAGAGAAAGGGAGGAGAGGGGGAGATTGGCTCGAGCCTTCATCAGCAACCTATTTCTGTTTATGGGCCTATGTGCCTAGCTCTGTGGTCTGTGTGCCTCTACATAAGGTCTTATCTGATTTAAAGCTTTGTTTAAAAGGCTTTACTTCAACTGCATTCAAACCCTATTATTTGAAAAGTTAGTCTTGATGGACAGTCATTATCCATATGCCTGCCAACCACGTCTTTAGTGCCCAATGACTGTATATATTCCCGTCCATCCTGTATAACTCTTGGCACTTACAATCACAATTGCTACACAATTTCTGCTAGCCAGGTACAATCTTCAAACGATACAAATTTATTCTTGTGGTGCTATAGAACGGGGCTGGATACTGGTCCCCTGGGCTAATCTCAACACGCCAACAGGCCCATCCCTAAAGGAGAGTGTACTTCTGCCGGAGGCGCCTACATTCTTACCTACTGCTCTTCTCTTCCCTATAAAAGCCAAAAACAGCAGACAAGTCTTTCTTATACTGCCTCCTCTGATATCTTTTACAGCCTTCTTTCATTTTTAATGGCCTTTGATTAAATGACCTAAAGACCACCCAAATAATTCAGGATCATCTCCCCTTTTTAAAACTTTTCACCTAAGCATTTTTGAGGCAGTCTCAAGGTTATGAACCAGGCTGGTCTCAAATTCACAGTCCTCCTGCCTCCGTCTTCCAAGTGCTGAGATTCTTAACTACATTTTAATTTAGCACATCTGCAATGTACTATATCCTCATGCTTCTGGCAACTAAGATATTAACATCTTTGGGAAGTCATTATTTTACTTTCTAAATTACTGTATAAAAGAAATCAAACATAACCCATAGTTAATTTTGTCATGGGAAAGGGTACTAGTTGTTCAAATGAAAAAAAATGTAAATGATGGAAACTCATATTTTACTATTTTTCTAGGCATTACACATTAGCTATAATGAAATAAAAGAAAATCTTGGAATTGAAAACAATGAGAATAAACAGAACTAATGCATGTAAAAGCATCAATTTCTTTTTCCTGTGCTGGGCATCTGACCAAGGTCCTTCCATGTACTGAGAAAGCTTTCACCCACTAAGCTATAGCCCCAAAAGCTGACAGAAACTGTGAAAGCAGATACATTGTCCTAATGTAGAATTCAGAACTACTGCTCCACAGCAGCCACAGCCCACACCATATATAGACTGTTACATCAACTTAAACTAGGAAGAAGTAGCTGGAAGGACCATATCTGAGCATACTAACTATGAGTTCTTACAACCTATAAACAAAGTATCCACAGAATCACTATAGCATGTCTGTGGTGAAAATCAAAACTCGTGGGCCAGCAAGATGGCTAGGTGGGTAAAACACTTTGCCTCGAAGCCTGATGACGGAGGCCCAACTCCTAAAATGTGTCTTCAATGTCCACGTGCCATGGCATGCACACACACGTGAGCATTTGCACACGCACACGCACACCCTAAAAAAAATATATACACAAAAAAACACATATACAAATAAATGTAATCTTAGACATTTTTAAAATATTTTTAAAAATAAAATGTTTGCTTTTTGAAATAACACTAGATTGCAACGATTTCCTGAGACTCCTCCAGCACTGCCCTACCCATTTAATCTTCTCAATTTAGCTTTATATCTTTTCTGACTCCAGGACAGGAGAGCAATGTTTGATGAACTCAAATCATACCCAGCATGTACCAACTCTTTGATTCGAGTTTTTAAAGTATCTATGCTTGCATCCAAAACCCTAGGGTTTTCGATTATTCGTGAAATGCTGATTTTTTCTTCTAGTAGGCAGTCTATTTTATCATTAAACTTTTTCTCTGATAAGAAGACCATGTTGAGATAGCTTAGGACAAACTTCTGTACCTCCTCGTCAGTGCATCCGAGAGAGAGCAGCTTCTCTTGGATATTTGCATAGTTTCTTTTGGTACAGTCGTTGGAAAGATCTAGGATTCCAGCTCCTGGGCCACATATCAGAAGCAGCAGATCCTCCGTGTTTAAGTTGAAAGTTGACTGCAAAAATTCAATGTTAGCTTTCACTCGTTTCGTGCTCTGAGTTAAGATGGAAGGATTTTTAGAAATTATCTTCCTGACAAAATCTGTGGGATCGTTGTGACCTAAGGATACACCGGTCTCCTGCAAAAACTCAACCATTTGTTTATTCAAATTCAGGCTATTGGAGAAGGTTCTAGGAGCCCTGGTCAACAGTCGGCAGAGACATTTATTGGTCAATCCAACAGAGCAGAGGAACTTTATATTATTCTCTAAGTTTAGGTTGTTATTAGACCGAAAAAAGGATTCAGGAGAACGCTCCAAAATATTTACAATTTCAAGGTCTGATGCCATAATCTTCCTCCACAGCTCCCATCGCTTTGAAAGACCTTCAGGAGTGCGTGTTATGGCTCGTGGGTACCTTGAGATGATGCTACCAATCACTTTGTCACTCGCTCCTTTGGAAAGAAGGAATATCCTCAGCTCCTGCTCGTTCGTACCCACCCTGTTGAAAACTCCAGGCTGCCGTCTCCTTGCCAAGTCAATATCAACTCCCATGGTGAGCAAGTTGTTCAGCAGGTCCTCATTCTCCGAAGGTTCCCTGTCCTCACTGCCACATTTCCCACTACAAGGCCGAAATGAAACTGACTTGAGAAAAATTTCTGCTGAATATTGGATCGTCCAACCTCTTGAACCAAAGAGGAAGCTCTTTCCCATACTCCAGACTTTTCTTGACGCCATCATCAGATAGCCCAAAGTTTTTCAAATGCTGTGTAAAATAACATACAGTGTTAGCATGCAATATTATATGAATGCCTGTGTTAAAGAGCCTATGACAATATTAGGATCCCTTAACCACAATGGGCCTTTCCAGCAGAAAACACCGATTCCTTCAACTTTCCTGGTTCTGCACTCACACTCTGCCTCACTACGTCTATTGGATCCCCAGGGACAGAGGGCTCTCAACAGAAAGAGAAGCAGAACGGCATCACTGCTGCTGCTGCTGCTGCCCCAAACTGCCCTGCCCTTTACTGTTCTTTTCACTTCACTGTGCCTATTTCTTCCATCCAGTATGACTTCTCCACCCGTCTTTTTCTGGTTTCTACATCTTGGTTTCTTCCTATTACATGGCATTTTCACTACCATCTTGCCTTTCAACTCGGCAGATATCTGACCTGCCCCTACCCACAGACAGTAGATTTCTTTGCTTCTGACCACCTTGATTTCAAACTCTAAATGTAGCCCTAAAAAAACAACACTTCCGATTGTCTAATTTCCATCTTCAGTGTCTTTTTCTGGATTTCTGTGATCCCTTTAAATGGATCACAGTGATTCTTAACCTATCCAAATCTCTGGACAACAGCTGCCAATATCAGTTTACCAAATTGTTTCCCTGACCGCAATGCAATATTTCTAAGTTAATTTCCATCTTCAAAACAGGATGGAGTATTCAATGGTATAGCACATGCTTAACATGCATGAGGCCTTGAGTTCAATCTCCAATACAAAAACAGAAAAGGAGGAACTGGTTTTCCAATTTAAGGGTTCTTAGGTCTTAAATCTGGGACAATTGGCTGAGGTGCCAAATTAACATGTCACAGCCAACCTGGCTGCCATGTTCTCCCAGCATGCCCCAGTCCCTACAAGTTGCCACACCCCAACCCTACCTTGAATGCTCCATCCAGCCCAGGGGCTGGGCTGCCCTCCCCACAGTTGCTCTTCCCTATATAATCCAGCTATTTGGCTCCGCTGGCCCTTTTAATCCTTTCTGGGCATTTTTGCCTTCTGGTCTCTTGGCTTCCACACAAGGTTCTCCTCTCTCCCTCTCCCCCATCTCCTCACCTCACAGAGTCCGGCTCAGTCTGCTGGTCATGCCCACCTTGAACTCTTTCAAATGCCTCTGGCTGTTTGGCTGTTCTCTTCCTCATATCTACAATAAACCTTCTTCTCCATCACACCTAGGTACAAACATGTCCTCCTTTTACTTCTGAGTAGCTCTTAGTAGGTCAAGTACTCCAATGATGGCCATATACCCAAAGGTATATAGGTAAATCCAATTGAACTCAATGGCTTGAGAGGGAGGAGAGAGAGAGAGAGAGAGAGAGAGAGAGAGAGAGAGAGAGAACACAAAGTTGAACGGTTATGGAATGGGATGAGAATGTGGGAGGAGTAGAAGGAGGGGTGAATATAATCAAAATTCTCAAGTAATTAATAAAAAAATATACATAAAAAAACAAAAGGCAAAAGGCTCTAGCTTGTACAGTTCAACCTTTTCCCTTCCAGATCCTCTTGGGTGACCTCTGCTGGAGAACACTATCAGATGACAATCAGACAAGTTTTATAAAAAAATTTATAAATAAGAGTGTAAGATCCAGTGAGATAAGGAGAAAAAAACAGCATAATTCTTAAATTGTACTTGTCTTATCCTGTGAAAATTTCTGCTTTTATACCGGGCAGTGGTGGTGCATGCCTTTAATCCCAGCACTTGGGAGGTAGAGGCAGGTGGATCTCTGTGAGTTTGAGGCCAGCGTGGTCTACAAGAGCTAGTTCCAGGACAGGCTCCAAAGCAATAAAAAGAAACCCTGTCTCAAAAAACCAAAAAAAAAAAAAAAATAAATAAAAATTAAAAAAAATCTGCATTTAGTCAATTTTCCTCAGATTATTATACCATAGTAAACAGGTAAATGTGCCACAGAATATTCGAGAGAAATTCTAATACAGATAACCAAAAGTATGCAAAAAGGTATGCCAAGACAGCTAAAAATAAAATCTGTTAGGGTTTCTGTTAGATCTGTCACAATTAGATTTTGTTTCTCTTTATATAACTTATCCTCAAGCAAATACTGTCTAAATCATTCAACATGGACAAGACTGAACTGGGCATATCTATGCAGCCCCCAAACTAGCTCTCCTCTGATTAACGTCATCTGCGATAAGCACCGTGAGGGCTGATTGTCTTCTTCTGTCTTATCCCTACAATCATCGGGCTGATTGTCTTCTTCTGTCTTATCCCTACAATCATCAAACCGTGCATCAGCTTCACTCACAAACACTAACAAGGAAATCTTGTTCTGAATCCTAGTCCATTCTAATCTCTTTGTCTTCCCTGTCTTTTCATCATTTTAACTGACATAACAAATAATGGATTTCACCCTATAATAGTCCTTTTCCTCCTCCAATGTTCCTCTTTTGCTTCTATGTAAAACACATGCACATACGTAGATAACTTATATAAATCTAAAGTCTACATTAGAAACATGCCCTATATTATTTCCCCCCGTAATTCTCCTATTTCCCTATCCCCTTCTTATTAGATCCCTTCCTCCCCAGCCAGTACTTTCCACTTTCGTAAGACACACACCCTTTGTGAGTTTCACTTATATTGTCAAACTGTCTTTTCCTTCAGATAGGGTCAATTTCTGGAATCCTAGCTGTACAGCAAAGTCTTGCATAAACACAATCTCCCTTTTAAGAGCTGAACCTGTAACCTCCGGCAAGGTGACTGCATAGCCTAATGCAGTCTTTTTTAAGAAAGTAAATAACAAATATTTACTTCTATTTTCCACTCAAAAGAAACCATTTTTTAAAAAGTAATGCTAAGTTTAGCGAATAACATGCAAATATTGGTGACTGTAATTAGTGACTCTGAGGATTTATGTTCCCTTCTGTCCCACGATGGACAGCTAACGGGCTTTTTTAAAAAATAGGTAATTCCTAGCAGTGGGGTACTACAATCCAGCTAATCCTCTGACACGGCATTTAAGTATAGAATTTTTTTTACAGAACTGCTTCTTCACATCTTATTTGTCTTACAATTGGAGACTTCGGATATCCCCAGAAAAGGTAAGGAGCTGATATTTCTACCATCGCACCTCCAATCCGGAAAAGAAAAGGCGAGATATCACCAGCGAGGTAGAGAATAAAGAGATTGATTGTGTGAGTCTCAGTACCTCCCGCAAACTGAATATTTCTCACTCATGAAGAAAAGAAAACGGCAACAAAACGCCCACCTCCGTGCGAGCTGGGGAAAGGCAGTGGAATCACAACGGGTAACCAGAACTCAGCGTTTCATATACATTTTCTTCTTAATTCCCCCACATACACAGCGACGTAAAGGGTGGGCACTGTCCCTAAAGTTACAAATTCTGACACAATCCGAGCTCCTTTTGCTATCTGAAGTGGAGAGGACTTGAGGAGTCTACACTCAAAACCACCTTAGTTCCTCATCACAGGCTTTCCTTATCCCCAGCGCAATTCTGCAAAGGCCTTTAGCAATGGCACTGTAGAGCACAGACACGCGACCCACTTATAATCACTGCAGCAGCTCCCAGCCTCACCCGGAGCGATACATAGGACTCGCGCGGTAACAAAACTCGCGGCAGGCGCCTTTTACTTCCGCTTCTAGAGGAACAGGAGAGATGGAAGGGCGGAAGTAAAGACTAACTTCCGGCCTCCAGCCGGGCGCGGGTGACGTCATCGGATCTGCGTCCCCAGGCGGCGCAGGCCTAAATTCCCGCGAATCTGACCCTGGCTGCCCAGCAGGGGGCGGCAAGAGACCGTTCTGGATGCTAGCAAGGGCCTCGAGCTGGTTTAGAAAGCAGGGCGGGCCAAGGCTTCACCTTGCTGGGGTTGGCATTCCCTCTGTACCAAGGAACAGGTTAGGATTTTTATCTCACTCTTCCTCTTAGATTGTTTTATCGGTCATTAATTTCTTTTGCATTTTTCTGTTTGGTTTGGTACTTGTAAGACTAAAGGTTTCTCTTTGGGAATTTAAATTACCAATAATCGGTTTACCTGGTAAGTGAAGCCACCTGAATGTTCATTGCTCTGCCTGTCTCCGCATTTTCTTCTGTGAACACCAGAGCAGGCGTAAGTCCCTATGAAAGGGACGCCATTGTGAAAAAGTGTAGCTGAGATATTGGAGGGTTTGGGGAATAGGAAGACCAAAGGTAGAGGGTGAAAGGTGAAGAGCAAGTAAGAAAATGATTAGTAATGACCCGGCAGAAGGAGAGACTGAAGTAAGTAACGAATTGGCAAATCGAATGTCTTTGTTTTATGTTGAGGAAACCCTGATGCTGAAAACCTTGAGTAATGGAAAAAACAAAATTTGTAGCAGCGAATAAAAACTTATCAATAGAAAACACCACAGATTGTTTAAACCCCATGCCAAGTATATGCTGAGTCATGCCGGAGATACCAGAATACAGAAACAGATTTACCAATGAAGCGACAGTACCGTTCTGCTTGAGTGTAATAATACTCTAGAACCATGTCCAACCAGGGGGAGCATTTGCCAAAACTTCCAAAATTGTTATGAAAGGTTGTTTCAAAGTTCCTAAGAACCAATCTTTTAATCTCAGGGCTCAAACTAAACGTTTGAATGACAAGACTACGAGACTACCTCCACGGAAATCAGGTCTGTGCTGATGGAGCAGTGTTCGTCAGTGACAGAGAATGCAGCCTTGCTTGCCGTTACATCTCCTTATGCCTAGGGTTCTTCCTTTCCTCTGCTCCTCTTTCCACTTTTCAGCTATGTTAAAGACTTATTTTCTGTGCCAAAATCAGTAAAGTTATAATTTTTTTTCTTTTTTGGTTTTTCGAGACAGGGTTTCTCTGTGGCTTTGGAGCCTGTCCTGGAGCCAGTCCTGTAGACCAGGCTGGTCTCGAACTCACAGAGATCCACCTGCCTCTGCCTCCCGAGTGCTGGGATTAAAGGCGTGCGCCACCTTAAAGTTATAATTTGAAAGGGATTTTATTCTTTCAAAACAGGCCCTCGAAGGCAGCTAATTATGCATTCTTAGGAATGTAATCTTAACGGTATTTAAATGGTCCCCAGAACTTCAGATTCTTCTACTTTTTGTCCCATTTCATCTATGTTCTGTCCTATCTCCACACTGATATCTCTAACACAAGCATGAGTCTCAACAAAGTAAGTTTTCATATAGGTCCCTGCATGGTTGGGGTAGTGGGGAATACCCCACTCTGTCAAAACCCATTTTCCCAAAAAAGGCAGTTTATTACCCTGTTTTTCAGAGAAGGTAAACATAAAGAGTTAAATAATTAGTCTTCTATCTTACAGGTACAATGTAAGCAGTAACTAGACCCATGGTATCTGAAACCAGAGTCTCAGCCCAGAACCAAACTCTATTCATCTCTGCAGCTCGGAATACAATCCCTCCCCTAGTGAGTACGTAGAAATGGTAGTTGGAGTAAAATGAGCCTGCAATTTGGAGAGTTCAGAACGTTGTTAAACCTGAGAACCTTGAGGATAAAAGACTAAATCCACAATTGTCCAATTAAAGCAAGCTGTATTTGGAGGTGCACCTGGGACTGGCAAGCTCGCTGTCTCACCCTAAGTCAGGATTTTAGAGAGCAGCCCAACCAGCCTCTTAAAGTCTCTTTATAGGAGAGATAAAAAATATTCCAGGGTGGAGAAAGTCAGCTGCTATACATTGTTAGAAAGTTACAATGAGCCGGGTAGTGGTGGTTCATACCTTCAGTCTCAGCACACCGGAGGCAGAGGAAGGCGGATATCCGTTAAGTTTGAGTTCGAGGCCAGCCTGGTCTATAGAGCAATGTTCCAGGACAGGCTCCAAAGCTATACAGAGAACCCCTGTCTTGAAAATAAAGTTACAATGAAAGGGAAGGAACAAGGCTAAGGATATACATCATGGGCCTTGAGTAGCAAGTTAGTGTAGGTTGTAAGCTACATGTTTTGTAGCTTACATCAGATCCAAAAAACAGGAACTTAATTACAAATGGAAACTTTAGCTTTGAGAATTTTACACAGGACAAACGACTTATTTTTTAACTACAAACAGAAACTTAACCTACATAAGACAAACCTCTCTCTCTCTCTCTCTCTCTCTCTCTCTCTCTCTCTCTCTCTGTGTGTGTGTGTGTGTGTGTGTGTGTGTGTGTGTGTGTGTGTGTATGTTTGTGTGTAGTGGTATATTATTCGTGTTTTAATAAATAAAGCTTGCCTGAAGATCAAAGGTCAAAACAGCCACACTAGTCAGCTATACAGGCTAGGGAGTGAAGGCATACACCTTTAACCCCAGGACTCAGAGACAGAAGCAGACTGATCCTTGTGAGTTCAAGGCTACTCTGGGCTACACCAGGTCAATCTAGAAACATCCCCAGGTGGTGGTGTTTCACACCTTTACTCCCAGTGTTTGGGAGTCACACACATTTATACCAGCACTAGGGAGGTGGAGAGAGTAGTGATACGGCTGGGTGGAGAGAAGAATATAAAGGGGAAGAGACAGCAACTCAGTCAAGTGTGGAGTCTGAGGATTTGTGGAAACAGGATCTTGTCCTTTTGATTTGAATATTTTGTAGAGGTAAAAGGTCTCTGTAGTGGTTAACTGCTTTGCTTTTCTGATCTTCAGATTGAACACCAATATTTGTCTCGGGGTTTTATTATTCGTGCAACATGTGTGTGTTTCTCTCTCTCTCTCTCTCTCTCTCCCTCTCCCTCCTTCCCTCCCTCCCTCCCTTCCTTTATTTCTTCCACCCACCTCTGTTCCCACCTCTCCCTCTCTTCCCATCCCCCAATCCACTACTCCTCTGTTTTAAACAGGAGCATCTTGATTACAAATAGAAACCTTAAGTTGCAAGGACTTAGCAGGACAAGCAGGAACTTATTTTTAACTGTCTTTAACTGCAGACAGTACCTTTAATCTGAAGGGTATGTTTTTCCCATTTTGATGTATTAATTTGCAAGGTATATTGTCCCTGTTTTGGTCTTACAATATTCAAGTCTAATATATCTAATTAGCATTTTGTGTCATTTTCATGCCTATCTGCAGCTTTCTGCATTTTACTAGTATTAACTAATATATTGACTATGAAACTCTTGTTTCTTTGGCATTAGTTGGCCATTCTATACTTATGCAACTGGAGAAGCAGTGAAACAGTAGAAATACTGCTTGCCTTAACATGTCTGGTGAGATACAGTTTAAAACACAGGGCTGTATCAACTCATATCCAAGGGCACATCTAGTTCTAAAATTCTGAAACTCTATTCTGTGGGATCTTTTCTCTCTCAGCACCTAAGTAGTGTGGTGATTTATTAAGAAGGTGTCTTATTTTTCTTCCTATCCCATGGACTCAAATCAATGCAAAAGAGGAGATGGGAGGTAAGTAGGCACTACTTATCAATGACAAACAAGAGGAGTAGATCAGTGCCAAGCCAAACAGCATGGAGATTTGGCTTACTGCCCAGCGTTCTCAGTTTTTATAGTGTCTACTGCCACGTATCCTCTGGATTCCTGCGGGCCACTAGCAAGCCAAGTGGACATAAAGTGTTCCCACCACAGAAGCACGTGCGGAGTTTCCCACCACAGAATCCCCTGCAGGATTTCCTTCACCACTTTCACCATGAGCTAGATGCTTAACATTCTCTCCTCTGTGTGGCCCCCGTCACTGCAACCCTTGCAGCATATTAATATTGCCAGGGAGCCTTTTCTAGGGAATGAAGCCCAGCCGTCTATGCCAGGGGATTCTCATTTAATTGGTAGGATCAGATAATGGTATGATTTTGTGGGATTTTTTTTTCTTCTTGGAAAAGATTCTAATTAACAGCCAGAATTAAAAATCCTTTGAAACTAGAGTCCTTTTGTACCCATATTCCTCAACTAAACTCAATATGGAGGCTAATTCTATTCCTAATCAAGGAGAATTCAAGGAATTTCATGTGGTGCAATAACACCACAGTTCAGTACTCGAGTTTAATCCCATAGAGGCCTGGACTCTTGGTTTCAGTAATTCCACATGGTTGCTGTAGTTAATCATGATCAAACTCTTCTGGCAGGGTCTATCTTTGACCGCTTCATATGTTCCAGGGTAGGAGTGCGTGGATTAGAAATGTTAGGCAGGAAAAACAGATATAGAAAAGAAATACAGAGACAGGACAGAGTCAGGAGGGCAACGTGGTGAATACTGAATCTGTCTGTGTTTATTCGTATTATCTTTAAATACCCCAATCCAAAAGAGGGGAAGAAAGCAAAAGACTTTGTGTTTATCATGATGCAAAGAACAAAGTGTCTACTAGGTCAAGATATTCTGCTAGTAGCCACACCTACTAGTAGTCAAACCTCCTGTCAATAACCTTAAAGG